ATCCCCCAGCCAGCATGGCTGGCTAGGGAATTCTGGGAGTTGAAGTCCACACATCTTAAAGTTGCCAAGGTTGAGAAACACTGGCCCATATCATGATCTGTTTCATTCTGTTTATTGAACAACTCCACCCTTTATCCAAATCTCCGGCACAGAACCATTGCAAGGATAAAACTAGAGAAGGGGGCGTTTGGTATCCCCAACTTGGCCTGATTTATGAACGAAGTTTCTAGGAGCAAGAAACCGAATCTAGAGAGAGCCCCCCTTTTCCAGAACGCAGAAGTCCAAATTCTGACTTTTCTAGAGTCAACATCTTGGGGGGACATTCTAGAGAAGCAAAATGCTGGCAATTTTTGTAGAATTTCACTCGGGCTCATCACAGCTCTGATCTGCGATTCTGATTTTAAAAAAAAAATCACAGTCCACATGGCTATTACAGTGGTGGTTTTCCGGAACGATAAGAAGGGAGTCTGTCAGTTTTTGTAGGCGATCCGATCCAGGCTACCAATGTTGGCTGGTCCCTCGGACGAAGCTTCACCCGTCAACGTCCTCCAGCCTCAATAGGTGGATCTTGGTGCAAGAATTCTGATAGAAGAAGCAAAGGGAATCTCGTCTGCTCAAATTGCCACCAGAAGCATCACTGGTTTGCAGGTGCTTGCAATGGGGAGCGGTATCCCCTAGTCTAGGATCCCCCCAAACTTGGGCAACCCAACAGGGCTGGCTCTCCAAACCCAGGGAGAGCTGCTGTCGACCTGGAGCAGACTCGCTGAATCTCTGACTCAGTCCAGCTGCTGCTTCTTGTCTTTGGCAGGAAGTGGCTGAATTGAGCTTCTATTGGGGCCCAAGGCACGTGACCCCCCTCTCTTCTTCCGCCCCCCCCCCCTTTGCAAGGATCCTGTATCTTAAAGCCATAGAAATCTCTCTCTCTTTGGGGCATGTGGTGACACAATAGGCCATCTCTCTGCAACATCCCCGGTCAGCACCGGTCTGTATTTTTTTTTTTCGGGGACAAAGTGTCCTGTTTGCACATTGTGGCTCTGCAGGCGACTGGCAACAGATCCTGCCTTTCTTAATACCTGCTAAAGTTGCCCGCTTTTCTTATCGGGGGGGGGGGGGAGAATTCCCTCCTTTTTTAGGGTTACCAAGGCGGCAGGCAACACCCCAAAAAAAACA